GAAGCTGTACTTCATATTAGTGAAAAACTTTGGTGTTTTTTGATGAGTTACTTTCATTTTTGCTTCTAATTTTCATTTAAAATATGTTTTAATTCTCTGCAGGTTTCTAAGGTTCTTCTTCTACGTATTAAAAAAGTTATTAAACATCTGAGTGGTGCACTACTGCTACTAGTGGTGAGAAAGTGTATTGCACCTTATTCAACATCAATGCGGCCCTCTGRGGCCCAAAGTTAAAAACTGTTGTTTTGAGGCCCTCAGGGTGGCGCTCGCGGCCCACAGGTTAAGAATCTCTGGTATAAAGTACCACAAAGTGATACTTGAGTAAAAGTACAAGTATCTTACAAAAAAATTACTTTGTTAAAAGTTAGTCTCTTTTAGGAATATTACTTAAGTAAAAGTATTAAAGTATCTGATATTTTTGTACTTGAGTATTAAAAGTGAAAGTATTTATTTAAATTGAGCAGTCATTTCTGCATTTTTTGGGGCGGTCACCTCCCAATAAATGTTATTACAGAAAATCTGTCTTATTAAAATAATTAATTTGTGTACAAACTAATACAGTATCGGAGTTTTATATATTTATACTTCTTATTCAACCACAGTTAAATTCACTCTATCTAGGAGGCACAGTTTATATAGATAGTATTTATTTTCTACAATAACAAGCTGGAATAAAAACAAGCAAAATGAAATAAAAGTAACGACTTTCTACTTCTTGTCTTATTTAAAAAAGTAAGGAGTAGAAAGTACAATTGTGTGAAAATGTAAGAAGTAAAAAGTAGGCTGAAAAATAATTACTCAAGTAAAGTTCAGATAACCAAAAATTCTACTTAAGTACAGTAACAAAGTATTTGTACTTAGTTACTTTACAACTCTGGTTTGTTGGTAGATGAATAGAAAWAGTCTTTGTCATGKGAGGGGAAATTCAGGTGTATSAGCAGCAGGTAAGATGTTTACTTTCTGCTTCTTGGTAGCAAAGAAAACCCACAGATGCATGTTCCTTACAAATGTGGCGCCATTTAAAAGACAATCAAATGGCTTTACATTATTATTATTATTATTATTATTAGTATTAGTAGTAGTAGTAGTAGTAGTAGTAGTAGTAGTAGTAGTAGTAGTAGTAGTAATATTAGTATTATTAGTACAGCTGACTGACTAAATATTTTCTGAAAGTTTCCATAAAATCCGTTCAGGACATATTTGACTAACAGGTTCGGTTCGGTCCGGTCCAGCAGAGTCCGGTCCGGTTGTTGCTGAGCCTCAGGACTCGTGCAGACAGGGAGGCGGCAGGCAGACGGACTACCATGATCCCAGTTCGGGGGGAGGACGAACCGAGACCAGATCATCTCCAGTCGGAAGCGAGCTCCAGCCCGGTCCTCCCCCCCGGTCCTCCTCGCCCCTCTCAGCCGCCTCCGGCGCCATGACAGCCGGGGAGTTCGTGCAGAGCGGCCCGCTGCTGGAGCTGCGCTCCGAGCAGAACCTGTTCTACAAGACTCTGTGCTTCGTGCTGCTCGTGCTGCAGGGCGCCGTGCTGGACTTCTACCTGATCGTCTTCACCGACCTGTACTGGTGCTCGTGGATCGCCACGGACCTGGTGGTGGTCTCCGGGTGGGCCGGGTTCTTCCTGAAGAACTCCCGGAGCCGGCGGGAGCGGGCCTGCGGCTTCCACCAGAAGAGCTCGATGCTGGGCTGCAGCCTGGGGGAGTTCTCCTACTCCTACCTGGCCTGGCTCATCTACGTCATCGCCTGCACCCCCAAGGTGGTCCTGATCCTGGAGACCAACATCCTGGACCTGGTGGCGCTGAAGGTCCCGCTGGGCCTGACGGGGCTGAAGGTGACGGTGCTGCTGTCCGGCCCGCTGCTCTTCTGCCTCATCAACTCCATCGTGGTGGACCTGAACGGACCGAGCCGGCACCGAGCCCACAGCTGCTTCCTCAGCACGTGCCTGGACCTGCTGGACGGGTTCAGCCTGCTGGAGCTGGTCCTGGCGGGCCAGGTCCAGTCCGTGTACCTGAAGTACACGGTTCTGTCGGTGTACTTCGTGGCCCTGGCGGTCCCGGTGGTCTGGCTCTACGAGCTGACCGCGGCCGAGCTGCGCTGCCGCTGGCTCTGGGCCCGCTTCGGAACCGGCCTGCTGGTCAACTGGCCCCTGCTGGTGGTCCGGTTCTTCCAGGTCCTGGTCTACAAGCAGCCCGTGTCCGTGTTCCTGTTTAAGAACGTCTTCTTCCTGCTGACGGGCCTCCTGGACCTGCTGGAGCGCTGCTCCGCGCTCCGCCGCCTCCACAGGCGGGCCCGAACCGAGCCGGCCCAGTTCTCCCACTGCGTGTCCGAGAACGACATGTGTCCGCACGGGTACGTCAACACGCTGGCTGTCAGCCAGTCCTAGACCCGGAGCCGAACCGAGGAGCTGGMCCAATCATGTCCGAACCGAACCGAACCTTTTGGACCTGAACGAAGAGTTCAGTTCTGCTCTGTAGAACCAAACCATCATGTTGGGTTTTTTGTGGCTGCCATTCTGGACCCGAGACCTGATCAGAACCTGAGTTTCATCCACAACAAGCAGTGGTTCTGATGATCCGACACCTGTTCTGATGGAAGGCTGCGGGACTAAAGAGGTCCAGGAAGACTTTCTGGTTCTGGTTTGGTCCACGTGGTGTTCTGGCTCCAAGCCAGGTCTGTGTTGGGTGACCTTTGACCCCTGAAGCTGCAAACATCCAGGAAGGTGAAGGTTCTGACCCGACCCGATGAACGTGGACCATCACACCTGCCTGTCGGACCTGTTGGACCTGTTGGACCCTGGACCCGGCTCTACACACCTGGCTGTCGGACCAGTTGGACCAGTTGGACCCTGGACCCGGCTCTACACACCTGGCTGTCGGACCAGTTGGACCATGGACCCGGCTCTA